CCACCTTTTTCTCGAGGTTGTATTCAGTGACACGGACCAGAAATTCGTTAAGATACCAGTTTTCTTGGTCCCGTTCCAACAGCACCTGCATAAACACCATGAACTATTTTTTCTCATGGGTCATGAAAAAGAGGGAATTTCTGGGTTCTAGATTTTTTTTTTCGTGCCCACTTGTGTTTTTTCGACAAAAATTGAACTTTTAAATATTATGAATAAATCTGTGTTTTTTCGACGAAAATTGAACTTTTAAATATTATGAATAAATCTAGAGGGAAAAAGGATCGGATTACGATGAGTCCTTTTTCTTTTAGCACATTTCTTTCACACCTGCTGTGTTTGTATGAGTACTGTATTTAGTACTGACTATGGTTCAAGTGGAGTATTTTTATTTTCGTGTTCACTGTCGAGATGTCATTCCAATGTCGAGATTTTACTTGACATTACAAGGTGAAGAATTGTTTTGCTTTACGCCGCATCCGTTTGTTCTGTTTATTTTTGTTTTCTCCCAAAGTGAACACCTCAAATTACAAGAAAAGAGGTGCAATTTTGAAAATTTTTGATTTGATTTGAATTGAATAAGACGGAGATTCGAAATATAAGCTTGAATCTCTCGTCACGAAATTGTTGAGCTCAAGAAAAACGGCCTTTCTTCGAACCGATTCAAATGGGATTTAAATTGACTTTTTATTTATTTATTATTACTGTCAAAAATACCGAGGACACTTTCTTGATAATTTATTCGAGTGTAAGAAACCCGTAAATGTAATATTTCTTGAGCCAAATTAAATTTAAAGTTTTTTTTCAGACCAAATCGAACAACAACGAATCCCTGGTTGAAGCGAAATTTAATATTGACTGTCGATGAGATCGTTTCATGGATTTTTCAAATTTTATGAATGACATATTTTATCAATGAAAAAATTTAATGTATATTTGAGGACATTTTTTAAAATCTTGAAATTCGAAGTGATGCAAATTTTTGACATATTTCAGTCCGTTATTCTAAACTTTTTTCATTTTTTTTATACTGACGACATGAAATTCATGCGATTTTCTTTTACTTGAGGATATTTCCCCAATTTTTTTCCGGTTTAATTATCAACAAACCGGAAAAATTGGGGCAAGATATTTCCCCAATTATATCCTTTTGAATTATCATAAAACCGGAAAAAGTGGTGAAATCTGTTGTCGGCAAAAAAAAAATGTTTCGAATAATGTACTCAGATGGCAAATATTTGTACCACTGCGAACTTCAAGAGTTCTCCAAAATTCCTTAAATTTGCAGCATATTTTTCGACAATTTTTTCCGGTTTAATTCTCAACATCATCAACAACTTTTGATGAGATAGTGTGGTTCAGGATAATCATGGATTTATTATGGTTAACTCGAGCCTTTGCCTTCTTTCTTCTGAATTTGACTCACGTTCTTTTTTATTTTAAAAATGAATTTCATGCATTATTTTGAGAATCCGGGATTGGGTTTGCCTCGGAATGCCTCTTGTTCGTTGACACAAAGGTGACTATCCAAGAAGATTATTTTTCTTTGTCCACCTCCACAGCAATTCCTTGGGTCACGCATGAAAGCTGACGGTTTTCGGTTCTTTTTCTTTGTTTCTTCTTTTGCACAGTTGATTTTCAGTGGCGAGTACACAAAGGCCATGTCGAAGGATTGGCACAGCTCTCATTTTTGCTGCTGGGAATGCGACGAGAGCCTGACGGGCCAACGGTACGTGCTGAGAGACGATCACCCGTATTGCATCAAGTGCTACGAGGGCCGATTTGCCAACAATTGCGAGGAGTGCAACAAGAGCATCGGCATTGAGTCAAAGGTAACATTATTTGGATAGATTCCAGATTAATCATTACTGATGTACACTCTTCTTCTGTGTATATAGACACTCCTGTACTGAATGTCAGGAAAAAATTAAACTTAAAGAATTCAAGCAAGTAATTTGCCTATTTCAGAAAGGCGCCATCAGGAGAAATTAACTCGAATCTCTTGACGCATTTCTCGTGAGCCTGAGAACCAAGCCCAGCAGGTTTTGTTCCCAGGCTCACCCAAGGACAGTTTCCTCATCTCTAAAAAGGAAGAATGAAAGTGGCCAAGTCCGGCCTTCAATCCCTAATCCAAAAAGTTGTAATGGTCAATTGAAAACCATCACTTTTTCACTCTGCGTCCTGCATTCAAACTGAACAGATCTCCGGAGAATTCTGCTTGCATTGAAGGTTTGCTCTTAACCCTTGTGCGGCCAAGTTGGGATATTTTTGCAAAATTTTGTGTCACTGAGAACTCGGAATTAAAAAAATGAAACTTTTGTACAAATAAGGCCTGAGTGGGAAAAAAGTCCAACATTTTTTTATAATCCAGCAGAAAATTTTGGATGAAAATTTAAAAAAATCCCCAATGACTGGGTGGTGTTTTTTCCTGCATTCCTGGTATAGGATTAGCATGGAAGATTCCTGAAAACAAAAGAGATTTTGTCTCCCAGATTTTTCCCAACTTGGGCCTTCTCAACCTGGGAGCATTTCAGTGACCTTGGGTCAAACTGAAATGCTCCACCCCCCAAAAATATCCCGCCTTTGCCTCACAATGGAAATGAACCCTCCGCTGTCCAAGGGTTAAAAACAAAAGTCTCATCTGTCTTGAACCTCTTGCAAAAGGATACCCTGATCTCTGCCAATATTTCTTGTGTGAATATATCATCTTATAATAGGACAAAAAGTCCCAGCTGCAGCCCGGCTGCTTAGCTTGTGTTATTATTTCTCTTAATTGCAAACTTTGCTCTAATCTTATCCTCTCTTCAAATCATATTTACTGCCAACAGCTGAATTTAGAAACAATTGCCCTTCAGGAAGCAAACTCACTTTTTGCCTTCTGTGTAGAAAAGACTCTTTTCCTCGCACTAAACATTATTTTACTGTAATGACATTTTCTAACTGTTATTGTTCAGGACTTGAAGATTCCTCAGCTATGAATTTGATTAGGAAAACAGTAAAACACATCAATCAGCCTGTGGGACTATCAGGGACAAATGTCACTGCAGTATAAGTTGATGTCGAGTATGGAATAATATAATAAAACACAGCAATCAGTCTGAGACAGGACCGGGAATTCTTTGTAGCAATTCCTAATAGTTTAACAAGATGAATGTTATTTCACAAGATAAACTGATAGCAAGAAATTTGTCCTATGCTTGCATCATTTTTTGAAAATCATTTTGACTGTAAAGTACTGTATTAATTTTATTTGACTTTTCATCTATATTGTAAATACTGTAACAAGCACATTTTCTCTTGATATAGGAAAGGAAGAATTAGATAAGGATGCAAATGCTTCATTTGCAGCCCTTAATCTCTATTCTGAATAGAGGAATAAAAAAAACGCTTATGAAACTGCAGTCTGATTGGTTGTACAGGAAAATATTGTTACACCATGGCTATTCTGGAACCTTTTGAAAACCATGTTCAGCTAAACAAATTTTAATGTTTTACACGGGGAAACTGTTCTGCACCAAAATGTTTTTGCCAACACTGAGTGGACTAGTACCAGTCCACATCAGTTTCGTGTCTCATATACTGTTTGCCAGAAAATGTTGTGGAAATTTCATATTTTCTCTCTACTCCTCAGCAGGATATTTCAAGTGACACCTGACTACCTGAGTAACATTTTAGAAACGTTTTGCTCCGGTAACCGGGAGGTGTGGTCCATATTTTTTATTTATAATTTAGTACTTCTGACATTTCCATCACAGAATTCGGGAAAGACGCAAAATTCGGGACCGAAACAAGGTGTGAAAAATATCAAGAAATGAGCTGGTTTTTTTTAGATCATTAAGCTATGGCACTAAATTTCAATCAAGTCCATATGAACTTGCATTTATAAGTGTACTGACAAAAAACTCCTCTGTGTACAAAAATTGGTTTCGTTTTTTCCTAAAGAAAATTTCAAATTCGTCTCAAAATCAGCTTGTGTACTATAATAGCAAAAACTGAATAGATGTAAAATTCGACCCAGTTCAAGGGGCTCAACTGTAAAAAATTATTCTTCTGTATGACCCTGCAATATGAACTCATTTTTGAAACTTGCTTCGGAATATGAATTTATATTAAAAATGGCTGTGTTATATCTATTTATTTTGAAAATTGCTCTATAATATGAACTCCAAAATTGATTTTCTAAACAATGGTTTTATGGAAAACAAATTTACTGCTCCTTCCTCTCTAGAGCAAGAAAATCTGCTGTTGTCTGTTTTTTCTGCCTTTGAATTATATTTTCCGTTCATATTTTTCAAGTTAACTGACGCACCTTCTTGCAAATCAAACAAATATTCCTCTCAACTTTTCAATCGCAAAGTTTGTTAAGTTGGACCTATTCTCTGAATTCATTCTCATTCTGCTATGCTGACAATATGACACTTGCATTAGGGCTGTTATCCTTTTCACCAAGTGTGGAATATCACTGAACTATTCACTCAATTTGTGCATCTCCTCTGATGGGGAGAGGAATGGGAAAAACTCAAAGACTTTCTTCTGAACATAAGTACTCTTATTTTTGAAACCACAATGTGCACAAGACAGAGACAAGACACAACCTTGGAGATTTTGTACACAGGACATCACTACAAAAGTCAGTGCACTAATGCCTGATTTTGGACAGAAGCTACTGGGCTTTATATGCTCCTAAATCTTTCAATTCATTACATAACCACATATTTGTGTACCAGGAAGTGGTACCTAATTGTGGAATGTGTCCAGGTTTGGGGGATGAAGGACAAGGCTGAGTCCTTCAACAAAGGTCGAGTCAGAATATTATATAAAATATATTAATGTTATAATTTCTTAATCCCAAGTGGGGAGCTATTCTTTGTGTTACCCCACAAATGGTACACACTGGGGTCACAATTGGTGTGCATGGGCTATTCTCAGGTTAAAAGTGTGCACCTCTGTAGACACGATTTTGTTTACCATTCCTGGGCTACATTTGGTGCACACATGTGACATAACAGGAGTATCACACAAATGCACCAACTGTAACCTTGGTGTAACTTATTTGTTTACAAATGTGACCCTGAGTAATCCTGGTGTGAACACACAATTGGTGTACATTAGGGATATGCATGTGCAACAGAAGAACTTTGGTGCACTTCAGGTGCACAGCAGGGTCATTTTGTAGAATTACAAATATATCCCCAGTGTGCACCAATTTCCCCACTCCAGAAGGTTCTGTTTATGAGGAAGAATAATTTTCAAATAAATAAGAATAACTTTCAAATTATTCCTTCTAATGTCTTCCTTTCCTCTTTCTTTTTTTCTCACTTCACACCATCCTGTTGTAAGATTTTTAGCTGGGAATTATTTCATTGTGATAATTTTCCATGCTAACAGGACAGTGTTTCACTGCCCAAAAACGTCCAGTTTCCATGATCCCAAGCACTCAATCTATCCCCCCAATTTGTGTGTCCGCAGGACTTGTCCTACAAGGACAGGCATTGGCACGAAGCGTGTTTCCTGTGTGCGAAATGCCGGGTTTCGCTGGTGGACAAGCAGTTCGGGTCCAAGCTGGACAAGATCTACTGCGGGAACTGCTATGACGCACAGTTCGCGTCCCGCTGCGACGGTTGCGGCGACATCTTCAAGGCCGGTGAGTAACCTCTCGCATCCCCTACTTCGAAACTTTACCGAGAGATGCTGCTCGATTACCTCTACAACATCCGCGCTGTGTCCGTTCATCTCATCGGAAATTGCGGTACATTACTGCCGGGGTAATATTCGATGAGATTTCTCAACCATGTGTATATATATATACTGTACACGTAGAAACGTGTGAAATAAGCTGATGAAGATTAGGTTGAACAGGAGTGAGGGGAAATACAAAGAAAAGGAAAATAATTTTATGCGAGGGGGGGTTTTTTTAAGCATTGAGAAAATCTGGTGCATCAGTATAATCCGTGGAGAAACAAAAGCTGGGATCCGCTCGGGTTTCGTTTAATGCCGACACTTCAGTGGGAAATCCCCGGAACTCGTCCTGTGTCGCACCCACGACGACACATTCTTGAAAAGCTGTCAACAACGAATCACGCGTCGTTCGACACTTGATCTTATTATGCTTGCTGTCGAGGTCTCAAATTGAAATCCGGCGGAATCTCCCGTTTCTGCTGTCGTTTCTGTTTGGAAGATTATTTGCTTCTCTTTCTCTTTGTATGATGCATCAAGAAAGGATATTTATCAAATGCTCCAGGTATCAAAAGAGCAAACAAAATACAAGCTTAAATTATGCCACATTACACTTGTGTTTTTTTATCATCATTTTTCTGAATTTAAAAGAAAAAATTCATCGGAATTGGTCGAGAAACACGTTCCCTAACCAGAAAATTTTAATGAAATTTTTCAGGACGGGTAAATTCCCAAAATATTTATGTGGACCTGCAAAATTTCAGAAAAGTTTTGCAGAGTAAAAAAAAGTTATGCATGTACTTGAAAGACTTTGTGACAAGTACAGTATTTGGAAAATTTTCATTTTTAATAGAATTAGGTGAAGTCCCAATGAAGCAACCAAAGCTGAATGTCTTCAAATAATTATGAAGATGGGCTTGAAGAAAGGTTTCTCAGGATGAAAAATTGAAATCATTTATTTCAGCAGGTGAAAATTTGTCTGAAGTGTTGTTAGGAGCAAAACCAAGTTATGATTTTCATCAGATAATTTCAACTCACATTGGCTCTCCAAAATTTTAGATAGAGATAACAGACTTCATTGCTACCTTTGATAGATTCAGTATTCTGGAAGTTTCCTATGGACTGTGGTGAGAAGTTCTGTGGACCACTGGTTGGGAACACTGGTCTAGAACAGTGTTCCCCAGTCCCTGGTCCATGGACCTGATCTGCCAAAGATTTATGCTGGTCCACAGGAAATTTTCTTTGGTACAATAAATTTATCAAAAGTAGAAATGGAGTCTCTAATCTTCATCTGACTATTTGGAAAGACAAAGGCAGTTGAAATTATCTGATGAAAAACAATCATTGGCTTTTCTCCTAATAAAAAATCATACTAATTGTTCACCTGCTCAAATAAATTACTGTATTTTCATTTTTCATTCCAAGAAACCTTTCTTCACGCTCACATTTCTAATTATTGAAAGTGTTTCAAATTGTATGTACTTTTGAATGCCCTTGATTCCATATTTGAATGACTGCAGATTTTCAAATTGAGACTGAACAAATTGGAAATCATTCTTGTATGTACTGTATAGCATAAATTATCCTTTGCAAACGGATATGCTATATATATACTGTAAAACTTATACTGTACACTACATTGAAAATATTTTGCTGTAGCCTTTGAAATGATAGCAGAGTTATCTTGATTGCCAATTGCCTGTTAGAATTGTATTTTGTCACTTTTACTTTCAAGATAAAGTAAATTCAAGTCCAACACATGCACAGTTTTAACTACGGAAATTTAAAATTGAATGCTATGATAATGAAATACCTAGAGAGTATTTCTCTGTCTAGCTCCATGAACTTCTATTTTGTTTTCTAGATTACTCATTCATGACACTGCTATAACACATAAACCTTTGAAAAGGGATTATTTTTATCGTTTTTTGAATGTTTTACTAAAGATTATTATGTACAAAATGTTTTAACCTTTAATAATCAGTTCATCATCAAGGCATTCTTTCGAAGAGGAAAAAGCCCAAAATTTACAAAGCTCACGGATCAGATAATGGTTCAAATAACAGATGGTCAGTGAACTTGCGAACATTTCTCACATTGCGGAAGTCGAAGTGAGTTGAAATTGTGAGTGACTGCAGTATTAATTTCTAGGAAAATGTGTCGTGCCAATATAGTGTGCTCCTGCGAGAATTCTTGAACTGTTAAGTGTGAAGAGTGTAAACAAACAAGTATACATCGCTAGCGAGCCCTGTAAGAACGGGAGAAAGTCATCATACGTTTGATTCGTTTTTAGTTTCCTAGGTGTCGCTCAAACTACCGCGCACGAACATTCCAGAATTTCCGACACCTGGAATTCTGCTTCAATAACTCTTGTATCAAAGTTCATCAAGATAATCAATACTGTATGCGGTTTTCTTTAACGGATTCAGTTCCAATCTCACGTACAGTATTCACTTTATGAAAATGGATTTGAAACGTGCAATCACAATGAGAATCTTGGGTGTTTCTTTCGACTTCATCCGTGCGCTTAGCTTTCCTAATAAAATTGTGCACGATGTACAGTAATGCAATCCAAAGCATAATTCCGAAGCTTCGTCCAACCCGAAAGTTTCGGAGAATATTCAAAATAAAAGTACACTTCGATATGCTGCATAATTTTTCTTTTATAATTATCCTCATTCTAATATAAATTCCTCAATCGCAATGAACATGAATCAGATTTTGGACAAGGAAGATGTAGCAACAAAAGTCAGATTATTGGCTCATTTTAAAGGATTAACTGAAAAGCGCTATAATAAATCTAGGACAGTCTACACAGGTTTTTTTTTTCAGAAATCTCTCGATTTCAGAAATTGTATCTTTGTTCATAAATTTAACTTCATCATTTCATCCTAATACAAATCACTGCAAAAGAATTTTCCCTACAGATTCACATGTAAAAACAACTCAAGACGCAAAGATTCTGATCATTGTGATATTTGTACCCATGCATTGTTCAGAGGAATGACCTTGAAGTAGAGTTCAATACTTGATGTAAAACTGATTTTTAGAGACTGCCATTGCCTGAACACTGTGAAATTGAAGACAATGACTTGTGCTAAATATGGCTAAACTGTCCCCTTCTTGCTGAAACAAGACAGAACTCATGTTTCTTAGAGATATTCCAATTTCTAGTTTACCAAAGCTCCCCATCCTCTCTATGTAAGAACTGTGCAAGACATGACTTTTTCAATATCATATTTTTATCAAATTTTGGAATAAAAAAGGAAATAACCTTATTTTTTCATGACATACAAATTATTTTGCATGAAAAAATTAAAACCCTCAGTCTTCCTTTGGAGGAGAAGGGCTCAAGTGAGCAACCAATACTAAGTTATCTAAGTAGAATTTTTCAGAACTAACCAACCAACTGGAATTTTGTTACAACTGCATCTGGACATTGAATTACTGTATATGAAATATGTAGATGAAAATCTATAAAACTGAGAAGGATCTCCTCATCCTAGTCTGCCAATAGCAGGTGAGTCATTGAATAAAAATTGATTGAAATTACTGCATGAAGATGACAGACTGGGAATGATTCAAAGGATGATACAAATTTTCAGTCATTTCTATGGATTAGACTATATATGGCTGAGGTTGAATTCTTTTACAACAATATGACAGCTAATTGACAAACATGCCATGTCTGTGACTTAGTTTTTAAAGCTGGTTAGCTGACAAAAAATATGACATTTACATTCCTCACAATCAGATGGGTTCATTCCCAGGTGGCTTGTATGTTATACTAATCTCAGTTTGATTCTCAATTCATATATCATTCTTTGTGGACATTGCCCTAAAAAATCTGTCTTCTATAGTCTATACTGATGACTTCATATTCAATGTTTATCAATTTGTCCAAAGTTCACCAAAATAACCCAGCAGACAATTTGACGTCTGGTAGTGCACTTCAGGATCCCAGTAAGTTTGAAGAGGCTTCATCAATTTCCCCCAGTTTTCTTGGAATTCTGCTTTATTGATCAACTGGATATTTTTGTGTTGCTTCTCAAATCTGAGTACAGGTGGTACCTTGCAATTCAGCCTCCCACAATTTGACCATCCTGCAATTTGACAGCTGAATTTGCAGGGAGGTTGACTTGCAATTTGACCTAGGCCCCCCCTCCCCCCAATTTGACCCACAGAGATGCGCAAAAACATCAAATACAATGTAGAAAACATCAAATTTGTTGCTTTGAAATTTAGGCCCTAGTCCAGGAACAGATTAGGGTCAAATTGCAAGGCACCACCACCTGTACTATAAAACCTTTTTCAGGACATGTGTGACGGAATAATTTGGTACTTTAATATACTACTGTACCTACACACTGGCTGCTGTTAGATGGCAGCCATATTAATTGAATACTAGAGATTTTAATCTGTACCCTTCAAGGGTTTTAACAATTTAGGTGTGCAGAAGTACAGAATACAAAAATATGTGTGTTGCTCTTGCTCTTGTGTGTGTGTGAGATTGTGAAGGTTATCTCTTTTTATCTTTTTATCCATTGTGTTCTGTGATTGATTTTGTGATCTATGAATCAAT